CCCCCCCCCATAGGAGAGACTCCCTTTTGTAGGGTTGAGTAAGGGGTGGGGGTGGAAGAGGCGGATTTCGTTCGGTTTGGGGAAAACGGGAAGCTTTCCCGAAGAGACCGGACTGCCCATCTGCCAGACAGGGTCCTTGGGGGAGGTTTGGGGGGGTTGGACTAGATGACCTACAAAGTCCCTCTCCAATTCTGTTGTTCTGTTCTGTTGTTATCTAAATGTAAAAAGGCCGCACTTGGAATCCTGCATCCAGTTTTGGTCCCCATATTACCAAAGTGCCTTAATGGCCAAGGATGATGGGAACTTCAAAAAGACCTCTTCAAAAAGACCTCGACTATGTATCAGAATGGTCAAATAAATGGCAACTTCAAATCTCAACAAACAAATGCTCTTTCTTACATATTGGCAAAAAACATCAGAAAATAAAATACAAGCTGAATAGTGAAGACCTTGTTGATGATCCAAACTCTGTCAAGGACCTTGGAGGACTCATCTCTAATGATCTAAGTGCTAGAGCCCACTGTAACTACATAGCCAAAAGGGCATTAAGAGTTGTTAACCTAATCTTGCGTAGCTTCTTCTCTGGTAATATGACACTACTAACTAGAGCATACAAAACATTTGCTAGACCAAGACTCAAATACAGCTCATCAGTCTGGAACCCCCATTACGTATCTGATATTAGCACAGTTGAGAAAGTCCAGAAATATTTCACAAGAAGAGTTCTCCATTCCTCTATTCGTTGTAGAATACCTTATGCCACCAGACTCAAAATTCTAGACTTAGAAAATCTACAACTATGCCACTTTCAGTCCTATCTAAGTATAGTATATAAAATCATACATTGCAATGTCCTACCAGTCAATGAATACTTCAGCTTCAACCATAACAATACAAGAGCAAACAATAGATACAAACTCAAGGTTAACCGCACCAAACTTGATTGCAGGAAATACGACTTCAGCAACAGAGTGGCCAATGTCTGGAATACTCTACCTGACTCTGTGGTTTCTTCCCCAAACCCCAAAATCTTTAACCTTAGACTGTCTACTATTGAGCTCATCCCTTTCCTAAGAGGTCTGTAGGGGGCGAGCATATAAGAGCACCAACGTGCCTACCGTCCCTGTCCTATTGTTTCTTTTATTTTTCTTATATGTATCCATGTATTCATAACTATGTTTTTACTTATACCTATTATCTTGTAAGCAATTGACAAACCAAATAAATAAAAATAAATAAAAATAAAAATAGCCAAGAGTCATCAATCATGCTCTCCAGTAATAATCTTGCACATTTGTATAAGATGTTTTACAGGTGGCATTTTCCCCCGACAAGAATAGCAAGAATGTTCAAGAATAAATCCGAAAAATGTTGGAAATGTCGTCAGACACCTGTCTCATATTACCATATGTGGTGGACTTGTGCGGATGCTAAAAAATACTGGACTAAAATCCACACGTGGTTGGAAAAAATGACAAAAAAGCATATAGACTTGAAACCAGAGATATTTTTATTGGGAATTTAACCTGAAATATATAGTAAAGATTTGAAATACCTGATTGTAAATGTATTAACAGCGGCTAGGATTGTATTTGCTAAAAACTGGAAAAATGAGAAAATACCATCACAGGAGGAAATCATTAAGAAAATATTGGAATGTGCTGAAATGAGCAGATTAACATTTGAAATTAGAGAACAGGATGATAAACAATTTTATAAAGTTTGGGATCTATTCTATCAATGGTTAGACAAAGTATAGTAACGAAATATGTAGACTTTTAGAAAATACTAAATATATAAAGATGTATTCTTTTCTTATTATATCTACAAAATGATTCTAGGATAGATTTGGGATGATAATATGAATTGTCACAAAACAAATTAAGTAAAATATGATTATTTTCTAAAGCATGAATGAATAAAAGTATAGTCAAATGATTGATTAATAATGATACCAATGTATTTAATATTGGATTGAAAATATGAGATCATATACAATGTAATTGTAATTGAAGGCTACGAAATGGAAGCACAAAACAATTTGTAAACCAACCGGCACACTGTATGTACATATATGGAAGATGGCCTGATGTTTTTATGTTTTGTTTGTTTATGTTTGTTTTAAAAACCAATAAAAAAATTTTAAAAAAAAATCTTGCGTGCCAACAGCTTCAGCTGCCAAAGCGATTATCTGAAGCATTTAAGGAATGCACTGCTTTCCCCCACTCCCTTTCTGCTGCCAACTAAAAAGACCAAAGAAGTATTTTTTTACTTGACATGTATATTCGTACAATGACAATAAAGAATTCAGTTCAATTCAAAAGGGGGACTTCTCCAGGATAAGGCAAACCCACCCAGAGACACCCCACACACACCAAAGCCCCCTCCCCCCAAGAGTTACTCAACCTGCTAACCAACACAGCAGTTGCCCCAACTGTGACTTCACAGTCCATCCTCCAGTTGGGCTGCAGGCTCCACTCGGGCACTCCTGCCTCCACCATGCGTGGCCCTCTCTGCCTTTTCTGCCTGTGCCAAGGCGGTTCAGCCGCGCACCAAGGCATAGCCAGTGGGCAGGATGCAGAAGGGCCCCTCTCCCTGGTGTGGGAGTGGCTGGCGGTCTGCTCGGCCATGGTGGTGGCCCTGGTGCTGGCGCTGGCGATGAAGTTGCTCACCCGGAAGCAAAGTCCGGAAGGCAGGAGAACATCCAAGGTGAAGGGCCCAGGACTTGAAGGGCCCTGGGGTGGAGAAGTGGTGCCCGGGGGCCCCATTGGGCCATCGGGTGGGGGAAGCGGTCCAGATTCTCTTGGTGAGGTGAGATGGGGTGGCCAAACAAACAAATATAGGTGGTCCTCGGCTTATGTACATAGTTGAGTCCAACATTTCTGTTGCTGAGTGAGACCATGGTTAAGTTGAGTTTTGCCCCCCCCCCATCTTGCAACCTTTCTTGCCACCGTCGTTAAGCGAATCGCTGAGGTCATTAAGTCAGTCTTAAGCAAATCTGGCTTCTCGTTGACTTTGCTCATTGGAAGGATCATGTTCTGACAAGCAAGATCAAATTCACTTAACCACCATGTCACTGCCTTAACGACTGCAGTGATTCACTTAACGGTGGCAAGGAAGGTCATAACATGGGGCAACATTCACTTTAACAAATGCCTCGCTTAACGACAAAAATATTGGCCTCAGTTGTTGAGGACTATTCCATTGTATTCCAGCTAGTTGGAGGAATTCTGAGAGTTGAAGTCCGCACAGCCTAAAGTCAGCAACTTTGGGAAAAAAACCCACTCTTCTAGAACAGGATTCTCCAAATGTGGCAACTTTTAAGACTTGTGGACTCCAACTCCCAGAATTCCCTAGCTGACATGACTGGCTGGGAATTCTGGGAGTTGAAGTCCACACAGCTTAAAAACTCACCAAATTTGTGAAAACACCATTCTAAACCATGGCATCCCTAAGAACAAGGACATTTTTGCTCGTTTATTGCCCTCTCGGGTCTCTACCCAGAGATTGGCTGCTGCCGGTTCGCACCAGTTCTGGTGGACCAGTAGTTCAGATTAGGCGCAGTTTGGCGAACTGGCAAATCCCATCACTGGCTGGCCCCATCCCAGCCCATTTTTCGGCCTGATTTTTGGGGTTGTTTTCAGTCTGTTTTGGGGCCATTTTCAGTCCATTTTTCAGGTTGTTTTCAGCCATTTTTCAGGCCAAAAACAGCCTGAGAAATGGCCCCAAAACGGCCTGGCTTTGGGGGCATTTTAGGCCATTTGGGGGCCATTTTCAGGCTGCTTTCTAGAACAAAAATGGGCTGAAAACAGCAAAAAAAACAACAACCAGAAAATGCCCCCAAAATGGCACAAAAACAGCCTGAAAAATGGCCCCCAAATGGCCTGGTTTTTAGGCCATTTTCAGGCTGTTTTCTGGACCAAAAATGGCTTGAAAACAGCAAAAAAAAAAAAAAAGAAAAAAGAAAATGCCCAAAAATGGCACAAAATCGTTCTGAAAATGGCCCCAAAACAGTCTGAAAAGAAGCCCAAAAACGACCTGAAAATGGCCCAAGAATGGCCTGAAAACAGCCTGAAAAACAGTCCAAAATTGGCCTGAAAAACGGCCTGAAAACAGCACAAAAATGGCACAAAAACGGCCTGAAAATGGCGCCAAAACAGACCGAAAAGGGGCAGGATTAGCCCCAATTGGCTGAATCCTTTGAGGCGAGTGGCCATGAGGTGGGAGCTGGGTGTGATGAGTGACATCACCCACCAAGTCACCTGACCAACCGGCCACGCCTACCCAGCCAGAGAACCGGTTGTTAAAAAATTTGCAGCCCGTAATTGTCTCCACTCCACTGAATTAAAAAAAAAACACCATCCATTTTCTGCTATTCTTCTGTCCCTTCCGCAGCAGCGAGATGCCCTGGTGGCTTCAGACGAGTTGAAAACCCGTC